AAAAAAATAAAAATAATTTTTATGGTGTAATTTAAGATTAAAAAAAATAACGCATTCTCTGGGATTTGCGGAGACAAAAAGGCTGCTGAAATTTTCTGTTGGCCAGGGGAACGTGAATTTTGATTTCGATGTCTATGTTTGAAACGCAAGGGGTTGGAAAGATTGAACCTGGCGTCTGGATGGGTGGAACCCTGCCGTCTGGGGTGGGTGGAAGCTGGCGTCTGAGGTGGGTGGAAGTGATGTGGGTAGAAGTGATGTTGTTGATCGCTCACCCAGTTAAAGTTTAAAAGTTTTTTACTTTATTTAAAAAAAAATTATAACTTATTTTTTTTTTAACAATTTGACATGAAATGAGATTTAACTTGTTTAAAAAAGAGAGGATATACTTATTTAATGTGATTAATATCGCTAAACCTAAAGGGTCAAATACTAAAAATTATAATTTATTAAAAAAATAAAGATTGATAAAAACTAATATAAAAATTTTGAAGTAAAATTATGATACGAGTTTTTTTATTATTAAGTAATTAACTTAAATATTAAGAAAAAACAAATTGTTAGAGATTTTTTTATAATTATTAAAAATTTTAAATTTCTAATTTTCAAAAAGAAATCTTGTATTTTAGTATATAATTTAGAGGTTTGAATTGATTGTGAATCTTCGAACACAAGGCTTTTTTCATTAATTATTTTAAATATCATACTTTTTAAATGGAAAACAAATCAATTATTTTCGTGGATTTTAGCATTTAAATCTAGAGATTTGATTGTGAATCTCACGAGGCTTAAAAAAAACTATTATTTTAATTACAAAAATATCTAATATTTAAAAGAAAAATTATCATCAATTAATCAGTGAACTTTAGCATGTACTACTATTTTAGAGCATTTATAGTGTGCTCAGGACCAATGGGACTGTGGGAGGACTGGGGAGATCAGCAGCAGGGCTTGTACAAATGGGTTGCTGCAATGCTGCTATTGCAGGTATCTGCAATGGCTGAGTATAGACATGCTCATATTCTGTACAAGAATATTTGGGTCCCATTTTCACATAGTCCTTAATAATAACTTTGTTGCCTTTGCTTAATTGGGTTTTAATTTGGATAAATACTCAAATTTCTGTTTTTTTTTTTTTTTGTCGACTAGCTCAAATTTTGTTTTTTATACCAAAAATGAAAAATGTTGCCAAAATATAAATAAGTATGGGTCTTGTCAATGACACTCAGATCCTAATATATACTCCAGTCAAAAAAAATTTTTTTTTTTTTACATTTTGACAAGGGGCGGGTTCGAAACCCGTCCAGAAGAGAAGAAAATGCATTGGTTGATTGACTAATGCTAGTGGGCTTCTAGGGTCAGGTGCTCCGGTCAAATTTATTTATTTATTTTTTTTGAACTTTTTGGACATGGGCGGGTTCGAAACCCGTCGGGAAGGGGGAAATGCACTTTGCAATGGCAAGTGCCATTGGGCCTCTAGGCCTAGTGCCCGGTCAAATTTAATTATTTTACATTTTAAATAAAAATGACATATTTCAATTGTCTCATTTTATATTTTAATAATATATAAAACAATGTTTTTGAGTCTGGCTTGGTGGTTGATCCATTTTGGTCATTAAGTTTGGTCCAATCAATTGAATCAGTTTATTTGATCGATCCAACCGATCAACTAAAAAACATTTTTTTTACATATTTATTAGATTTTACGTTTTTCTCCAACCGCCAACCACTCCCAGCCCTAAAAACTTCCATCTCACCATCATCTTTGCCAAACTTCTTTCAGATCTCCTATCCCCAATTTTCTTTAAAAAAAAAAATTTTCTTGATTTTTCCTCTAGGCCTCCTTCCCTGGTCTCGATTCTCTTTCAAGTTTCAATTTTGAGATCTACTTCAACCTCAACATTCATCATCATCATCACCGAATAGCCACAGAAGCTTGGATGAATGGGAGGAACCCAAAAAAATCAGAGGAAGAAGGACAGGGGTTCATGAAAGAGTTTCTCACCGTTAGATTGACTTCGTGGAATGGTGTTGATTGGTGATAGAGGTTTTACAGCTGAAGATACCGTTCCAATATGGTACCTGCATTTCTCATCACTAGATCAACTTTGCGAAACAATGTTAATCAGTTTTTGCTATGAATGAGTAATTAACGAAGGCGAAGAAGCAAAGCACGTTCACAAAGTTGATTGTTGTGAAATCGATACCTAAGAGCTTGCACTGCTTGTCAATAAAGTTGATGAAGGAAAGGATCGCACACCTAAAGATATATAGCGACGAAGATTCTACCCGGTGGGTGGAACGATTGCGTGGAAAAAGCGAGTCAAGCGAGTTTGGACAGGTTAACTCTCAAAATGAGTTAAGGCATGGAACCAGCCTATTTTTAAACTTGAGTTTGATTGAACTGATT